TATATATATATATATATATATATATATATATAAAGAAGCCCACCTGAAATTATTAAGCAACTCACATAAACCTCAATAAATGCCTTTTAATTTGCCTGGACAATTTTTTGTCAATTAAAAAAGATTAATGTACATATCAAAACAAACCTTGAGTTATTCTCACTATTCACATTGTTCGGACTGTTAGTCTCAACTTTATTGCCATATTCATATAGCAATAAAGACGAGGACAACAATGTAACTAATGAAAATAATTACAATGTCTCGTCTTAGAAATATAGACCGATACTGAAGAGGGCCGGAGCGTACAACGGCCAAAAAGCTGTGGATTTGACAATAAAGATGCAGAAAACAGATTGAACAAAGTAAATAGTCTAAACAGTTACAATGCCTCATCTCAAAAATATAGATAGTCCCTGACGAAGTAAAGAGCGTACAACGTCCGAAACGTCGTGAATATGACAATAAAGATGAGGACAACTGTCCAAATGTTGTGGCCTGTATAGGGGCCAGAAAGAAAGACACGGAAGACGAAGGTCGGTTGAACAAGTTTATTGAAATAACAGATATATACAAAGAAAGAGGGGCACCTCGAGGTGGTGTAATGGTTAGCAGGCTTGTCTCGCTAGAACAATTACGCCTGAGTAGTGAGTTCGATCCTCACTGGGTGCCCCATACTTTCGGCCGTGTGCCACATCTGAGCTACGCTTGGAAAATCACTATATACAAAGAAAGAGTGTTAGTAATGAGCAGATAGAGGTGGACGTCCGAACGGTAAGTTAACAATGCGTGTCCGCTATATGTAACAGCCCACCCCCATACACACACGCACACACGAGGGGTGTATGTAGCACAAGGCCGAGTTTACCGTGGGTTCTCCGAGACCGTACGCACGGCCAAAATTATTGCCTTAGAACCCGTATAAACGGGTTCAGGCTCTGTCTAACTCCCCGGACAAAACTCTTCCCTTCGGTAGAGCTTTCTACGGGTTCCTCTCCGCCGAAGCAGAGAGTTCGACAGAAGTCGCACACAGTCAGAGACTGCTATATTTAACAGTTCCCCCACGATCAATGTATGTGTCACAAGGCCGAGTTTAACGTGGATTTCTCCGAGCCTGCCAAAAATACTCCCTTAAGACCCGCATAAGAGGATTCGGGATCTGTCTACCTCCCCGGACGAAACTTTGCCCTTCGGCAAAGCTTCGTCCGTGTTCCTCTCTGCCAAAACAGAGAGTTCGACAGAAGTCGCACACAGCCAGAGACTACGCTCTCCAACCGACTCTTTAAGTTAACCAAACAATGTAAATAATTACAATACCTCATCTCAGAAATATAGATTTTTAGTTAGTTTTGACATATTTCATTAATGTTATTGGATTTATTATAAAAACTACAGTCTGAAGTGATTAGGTAAATTAAACTAATATTAGTTTAAGGTCTCTGAAATTTAATAAATATTATTTTTTTTCCCATATGTTGAAAGATGGGTAATGGAAAAAGATCTAAGAAATGTTGAAAAACAGAAAATTACAAAGTTATTGATTGAGGGAATGTCCATATTGGTGATATCAAAGGAGCTTTGTAACGATCATCAAACGATAAGGAGAACTGATGAAAATATAATTAAGGAGAGAACTAAAAGCAAATGAAAAGTCTTGAGGAACTTGTCTCCTTGAGGTGAAGGTCAACTCAATCGATTTATAGCGAAATAAGCACTTTTTTTTTTACCAGTGCTCAAATCTTTAAACATGCTGGATTTGAGGGAGTCAAGAAGGGAAAAATGAGTAAAATAATTTGCAAATTAGGATCTATCAAGAAATTTCCCAGGCAAACTGCTCTCATTAGAGAAAATATTTTAAAGCATGACAATTTTGCAAGAGATTAAAAGAAAACCGACTTTTCTAAAGTAATTTTCACGGATGAATCATGGGTAATGTACGATGGACCTGATGATAGGATGCGAACGTTTTAATCACTTGGTCACGTGACCATCCTTTTACATATATATATATATATATATATATATATATATATATATATATATATAAGACGAGGGAGCTTTTATTTTGTTATAATAAACCTTCTTCTATGTTAGATCGACTTTAAGCACAGTATTAGATTTGTGGTAAGTTCTCATTTTACAGTTGAAATGGCGAGATGCAACCGTAAGTTCTATGTTAACATTTTCTTCTTTCTCACTCCTCCCTTGTGGAGCTCTTTTGCGGCTTCTTGCTTTCCAGTCAACTTTGATCTTCAAAAATTTAAATGTCATGTCATTCTTTCAGTTGAACTACTCCCAGAAATTAAGTACACACATCACCTAATCATTTCTGTTATTTATTTTTTTTTGTTTTTTTTTAGGGGGGGGGGACACGAAATCCTACTAATACTAAGAAAAATGTCTTTGGCTGAAGTTCCAATTTAGTCTGCGATTTAGCCCGTTCGTTTCCACTAAGAGAATGTCTGCACCTCTTTATATTCTTGTAAAATATCCATTCTTCATCACTATTTATAGCTGTGTATAATAAACACATAAACGAAGAAAAAGTTCACGAATTGATCAGGTTTGGATTTCCACTGAAGCCTCAAACTTTTTGATTTTTGGTTAGAGTAAATCTACCTAACGAGGAAAAGAGAAAGTGGGAGGAATAGCAAAATAGAAAGTGGGAGGGATAGCAAAAAAAGTGGGAGGGATAGTAAAAGAGAAAGTGGGAGGAAATAGCAAAAGAGAAAGTGGGAGGAAATAGCAAAAGAGAAAGTGGGAGGTATAGTAAAAGAGAAAGTGGGAAGAATAGCAAAAGAGAAAGTGGGAGGAATAGCAACAGAAAAAGAGGCAGGGATAGCAAAAGAGAAAGTAGGAGGGATAACAAAAGAGAAAGTGGGAGGAATAGCAAAAGAGAAAGTGGGAGGAATAGCAACAGAAAAAGAGGCAGGGATAGCAAAAGAGAAAGTAGGAGGGATAACAAAAGAGAAAGTGGGAGGAATAGCAACAGAAAAAGAGGGAGGGATAGCAAAAGAAAAAAGTGGGAGGGATAGCAAAATAGAAAGTGGGAGGGATAGCAAAAGAGGAAGTAGGAGGGATAACAAAAGAGAAAATGGGAGGGATAGCAAAAGTAAAAGTGTGAGGAATAGCAAAAGAGAAAGTGAGAGGGATAGCAAAAGAGAAAGTGTGAGAGATAGCAAAAGAGAAAGAAGGAGGGATACCAAAAGAGAAAGTGGGAGGGATAGCAAAAGAGAAATTTGGAGGGATAGCAAAAGAAAAAGTGGGAGGGATAACAAAAGAGAAAGTGGGAGGGATAGCTAAAGAGAAATTGGGAAGAATAGTAAAAAGAGAAACATTGCTAAGGGCTACAAAGAAATTATGGAGAGCCATGATCGCTCACATCCTAAAGACGGCACATAAGAGAATACATAAAGATATATAATAGTCAGTGTATGATTTTGTTTTATGACTCCATATTTTCCGATAGCTTGGGTTTTCTTTCTGTAGTATTTTATTTTCACTCTTGTGCATATGTTTGGATTAGCTGCCGGCGCTATACATTCTTCAAGGTTAAACCGGATCTTTACAATGTAAGGAGACAGGTCGTTGCAGTATCCAATAGTTCGTCCATTTTTTTTTATGTATATTTTCTCATTTATATTTCTTGCATGACACAGAGAAAATCCAAGGAAAACAAATATCGTCGATGGATCAATAAAAGTCTTTTTTGTTGCCCTCGTTTCATAGGTTTGACCGGAAACAATAAACCCGGGAATGTGAAATATGTCTTCAGCAGAGAAAGCTTTAGTTTGTGGCTTTATTTGCCATTTCCAATCGATATCGTGACGTTCCGGCCATCAATACCAGAGTGTCGGAGACGCTATCTAACAAGAGACGTTGTGAGCAGGTTTCTTCCATCCGGATTGTGATCTGTTATTTCGCCATAACTCTTTTTATCCCAACTAGTGACGTGGACAAAGAAAAGCGCTCATACTAAACAGAATATCTCTACTGATTATAAACCTTCTTTTTAATAACACCCACACTCCATAGCCATATTGCTTTATTGTTTTGTCTTGTAATGAATTTCCCAAAGTGTCTTTCGATTTTAGTCAACAACAATGCAGAACACACCTAAACGTATCAAAACAAACAGATTTCGCCCAACGACCGACCGGATATGTAATTTGACGGCGGTGGTGTAAGAAACTGAATTCTCTCAAAAGAGACGGCCATTTTGCACTCAGGAGATCTGCAGGACGGTTCAACTGACAGCTGTGTTTTATTGATATATTCCCACTCGTGAATTGCGTTTTTTGGAGGCCATCGATGAAGGAACCTGAAAAAGAAGCAGCGTTTGGCTATTAGCGTGAATGTGACAAAAAAATGGAGGATTCGCTTTTAGCATGATGGATGATAATGAAGTTTTGCAGTGAGAAGTTGAAAAACTGATCGAAAATGATGTAAAAAATAGGTAAAATAAACGAAAGAAAATGTAGCATAAGCAGCAAATAAAATTAATTTCCGTATATATTCGTTTATAGGTCGAGTTTATAAGATCAATGTTTTAAGAAAAACCTGTGAATCAATCGACCTATAGGATAGAAATTAGCCAGAGCAAGTCTTTGCTTCCGACATCAAATAGTATTCAGCAGTTAAAAGAAAATTATCGTAAATGATTTAATTGAAAAAGTAGAATATTTTTGCTGAAACCTCTAACGTTTCGAAATTTGATTAGTTGTTTTTGTTTAGCGACATATCAACACCTCTATGGGTTATTTAAAATAATATAAATATTATGTATGCAATTTTATTTTTTAAAAGTCTTTTTTTGAGCTAATAGGTTTTAGTGATATAAGTCTTATTAATTAACCCATAGCTGAGGGAGAAGATATGGAGTCATACCTTTCCCAAGGGTATTTGAGCGTAAGCGAACATAATGAATCCGACTGGAATTGGAACACGGTTCTCCGATTAACAATTCTGAGCCATTATCCATTACACTATGACACCCAAACTTACAGTACGTGGTATTCGCAGGCGGTCACCCATCTAGGTACGAACCAGACTCGACGTTGCTTAACTTTGTTGATCGTACGGGAACAGAGCTTTTAATGCGATGTGACCGTGAACCGTTTGGTGTAGAGTCGTAATGATAAATGATTAATTTGGCTTTTAAAGTTTTTCTTTTCTGAAAAAAAGGAAAAAAAAAAAAAAAAAAAAACGTAAATCAGCCTTGGTCAAGATTTTAGCTGCCATATTTCTTTTTGCACCAAACGATTTGAACAATGAATTAATTTTCAGGTTTTCTCTCATGAAAATGTCGAAGGCTTCAAACCAATGTATCGATCCACTTAATATTAACAAAAAAAATGAACTATCTCGTGTTATAAGGCTGTCGAATAATTTCCCTTTGGACTTTGTTCACCTATTCAAGCGTCTCTATCAATGGATATCCCTTATGTTTTCTCAGTTTTCCGTTTAGCGGAAATGACATTCGTTCTATAGGATTTATATATAATAACAATAATAATAATAATTTCTTAGAATAAATCCAATCAAGTCTCCTGAAGAGAGAATGTAATGGACACGAATCTCAAAGTAGAGACAAAACAGTTCAACATTAAATTTTAATACATATACACACATACTCCAAGAATTTCTTTTTATTCGACATTATTTATTATTATTATAAACATTATTTGTAGTGGGTACTTGCGTTTCAGTTGGTTTTCCTTTTGTTTATTTTATTAAACAGTGAAAATAATAAACCATCTGCTTAAATTGCGAAGTCCAACACGCAGGCATAATCTTTGTATAGCAGGACTTCTTAATTTAAGCCAGTTGTCATAAATTGCACTGTTTAATAAAATAAAATAAGCAACAGGGATAGCAACTCAAACATAAAGTAACGTTTATAGTTATAAGGAACTGATATATATATATATATATATATATATATATATATATATATATATATAAGTGGACATTGAAGTCAACATTCAGACGCGACAAATGTTTCATGCTAAACGCAATCGTCAGGCTACATGCGTTGTGTTTTTCTCACTATGTATATATTCGGGTCATTGATGCATTTTGGGTAGTCTATTCTAACGGTTATTTTGGCGAGAGTGGTTTGTTAATTTATTTATTATTTTATTTATTTGGATTAATTTATTTTACTTGTTTTTGTTTGTTTTTATTTATTTTTTTCCGTTTTCGATTTTTAAGTAACGTAGTAAAAATTTCTTTTCGTTTCTGCATTTTGATATGAGATCTGATCGTTTATTTAGTCTTTTGTTTTCTTCTGAGAAGATAATTATAGCTATTTTTCTCCAAGCATAGTTTACAGAGTTTGGGTTGATTGTTGTAGTCTGATGCTCTTTTCCTTATTTTCTATGGTATTTTGGTGTGATTTGCTTTTAGTTTTTAATTTCCCAGCGTATTTACTATTTAATGTTTTGTGTGCGTAATTTCGTTGTTTCCAGGGTCCCTCAGTTATTCCTATGTATATTTTTTTCGCTATCTGATGATCTTACCGTGGCTTCGTATATTTCATTGTTTTGTACTCAACTAAAGAACAAATGTCCCTTAAACGGCAATTGCTTACATGTTGATACATATTGTTTTATTCCGAGTACTTTCGACATTAACACAATGTCATCCTCAGGGTGTGTTTTTAAGACAAAAATTGCAGTGTTCATTATTTCCAAAGACAAAATTGCTATGTTCTTCTGAAAGTTAAAATTTTACATGTGGAGTGAGGATCGCTAGTTTTTATGCTATGCGGTTCATGTCAAGCTCTAGTGGAGATAACTAATTATAATGTGTGAAGAGTTCTTTTTTAATAAAACAATATGTATCAACACGGCAATTTTCTCTTTTCTTTACTTACACCAGAAAGCTCATCCGATAATATGAACGGATCCTGTTGAAAATAAGCAGACAAAACTTGTCCAAGCTATTCTACGAAACGTGTCTCAATATATATATATATATATATATATATATATATATATATATATATATATATATATATATGTTATAAAATAAATCAAAATTTTGTTCCACGCCGTTCGGTACAACTCTGAGTTTAAGGCACTTGAAAACTGACCGTTGTAGAATTTAAATATTAATATTTATAAGCTGCTGCTATTAAAGTGGACCCGTCTATTTACTTATGTAAAATATATATAAATATATTTGTAAAGAATGGATTAAATGCAAAAACATATAGATTAATATATATATATATATATATATATATATATATATATATTACCAAAAACAAATGTGAGAAAACACATACATATCCAAATTCAATATATTTTTTTTTTAAATCGATATTTTCAGTATAGTACACATATATACGCAAATATAATTCAAATATACAAATATATGTATATACATAAATTAAAATTCATTATATATATATATATATATATTTAATTTTTGTTTTCCATAATTGTAATGTATTACTAAACGCACATAGAGAGAGATGAGCACATTGAGATAGATAGATAGATAGATAGATAGATAGATAGATAGATAGATAGATATTTCTTATATATGGATTATATTCAGTTACATCTCACTTTTCGCTTATTTGATCACGGACTTCTCGCTTATGGAACTCTCTTCCATCATCTTGTTTCCCAGTCAACTTTGATCTTCAAAAATTGAAATGCAATATCAATCATTATCGTCTGTTTTCTTAATTCCTTTTCCTTGATTGTTCTACCTCCTTAATAGTGTTTTCTTCTTGATATTTTCTACCACTCAACACTCCGCCCTCGCGTCTTAGTGGCTTTATTAAACATATCACGTACTTTCTCAATATCAACATCTATCTTTGACTTTAGCTTAAAGCGTCAATTTGGTAAAACCCATTTTGAAATAAAATATCATCTTATTAAGGAGAGTGTGATAAAGTAATCTGGACACTTAGTTGATGATGTAATTTATAATAAGGTTTTCTTACAGATCGTAACTGGTGAGATCGGTCCCTACTGGCCTTGTGTCAAACTAGTTTATCTTTCGTAAATCATGTAGCTAAATATTCAGTTATAACTCAAAAACAAATAGTTCAATTTGTTTTTATCCCAAACCTCGCACTCTTCCTTACGTGAATTTATTTTTACGAGATTGCTCAGTCTATTTTTTTAATGTCTGTGATACAACTGAAAAGTATTTTCAAAAATAGATCAAGATCCTGCTAGGATTTATTAACGGTGGGCACTGTCTTAAAATTATGAGATACGCAGATGGCGCTGCGTTGATAGCAGACAAAACAACAGGATCTCCTACAGAAGATAATAAAGGAAAGCATGAAGAAAAGACTAACTATTAATTGTAAAAACACAAGAGAGAAAAATCCAACAACCGATGTACGAATTAAAGGCATCGAAATCAAACAAATATAGTAATTCAAATATCTTGGAAGATATTTGAATTACTGTACACCTGAGTAAGACCACCGCCCATAGAGGAGAACATGACTAAAGACTGTGTGTACGCCATCCCGTGCAGCTGCGGAAAGAAATATAAAGGGGAGACAGGCCGCTCCCTTAAGGTAAGGCTTCAAGAACACCAGAAAACTGTAACACGAGGGGAAGTGGGAAAATAATGTAAATAGTGTACATAATATCTCATCTCAGAAATCTAGACAGATACTGAACGGCCGAAACGTTGTAATAAATATGACGACAAAGAAGAGGACAATAGTCATCTCAGAAATATAGACATATATCTTGGAAGATGACGATAATTGTATCACCGAAATTCGAAGGTGTATTGTAATAGCAAAAGTGCCTTCGACAAGCTAAGCAAAGTATGAAGAAATACGAAAAGTTCATTCAAAACAAAGAGTGCTGATCTGCTATATGATATCAATTCTCTTAAATGGCAGTGAATGCTGGATAACTTCCGCAGAGGTGAAGAGAGAGAGAGAGAGAGAGAGAGAGAGAGAGAGAGTACTACGGCAGGGTTTGGTTTGGTTTATTTTGTTTTATGGCATATCAATGTTTTATTTAATGGCAACAACATTTTTAGGATAGATACATATGAATAAAATATGTATTCTTTGGCTTAGATTGGTTTTGTTTATTTTGTTTTACGGCATATCAACCTCAATGGGTTATTTAATGCCGACAACATTTTTTATTGCTGGTAATATTTTGTTTTGTCGAAAAACTGTTTTTGGTATTATATTTTCTTTCAAAATTGTATTGCTGGTAATATTTTTTTCAAAAAAGTATTGCTGGTAATATTTAACTATTTGCCCATATCTGGGGCCCTAACAGGTGCTACCACCCCAGGTCAGGGTGGACCTGGAAACACCAGCAATTGAGAGGGGGTTCCACGCTCCTCAAAACCTCCTGATCAGAGGGCTTGCTGTTGGACGTAGTTTAAAGTCTTACCCAGGACGTGGATGTAGTTTAACGTCTTACACGGGACAAGTACTATGGAGGGAATCATGGGAGGAACGATTAGGTTTTCAGGATAATGGAAAATAAACGCGACAATTATACATAAAATCAGTCAGAGACAGTTGACATTTCCGGAACAAATACTGAGGAAAAGAAAACCTGAAAAATTTGACGCTCACTGGGCATAATGCAGAGAAGTTTGGCACTTCGATATGGCGTAATGATTAACAAGCTTATCTTTTAAGATCACTTACGACTGAATAGAGATTTTGATCCTCACTCGGTGCCCCGTACCTTCAGTCTTGTGCTACATCTAAGCTACGCTTAGAAAATCACCATATTGAAGAAAAGAGATCAGAGGAACACTCGATTCTTGGTCAACGTTCATTACCAAAGATTTTCAATTATTTCAGCTCAAAGCAACAGACAGTCCTAGTTGAATAAATATATGACAAACAAGCAAACAGATATAATTGTTTGGCCTTTTCGAAATTAAATTTTACGAAGAAATTTTTCACTATTTTCATTCTCTTCGTGTGAATCGTAAATTTTACCAATCATTACTCTTGACTTCAGTTCCCTTTCTTTCTCGTGTTAACCGACAACACTTCATTTAATGATCAAAATTGTCTGCTGAACGATAAATTAATATTTGGTATCACTCAGGGAAAACCCACAACATTCAAGATGACATATTCTGT